TCATTTCGAGCAGCTCCTTTCTGTTATATGAAGTCTCCTGCCGCATAATAGTCCATACTCCAAATTAATCTGTAGGCTCAAATCACCGATCACTAAAATTCCCAAATCACTCCAAGCTCTCCCACTTTGGCGGAACTCACCCCTTTAGTCGACTACTCGACCTTTACTTCTTATACCTGGCCTTCTAGAAATTTTAACCACCGCCTGACACTCCCCACATGTCCTTCCTTATCCTTTGCTGCTCAATTGTTGCCTTAAATAAAATCTATCTTCACGACACTTGAACCCACAATTGCTGCTAACTTTACACCTTTCGGAAGATCATCTTTCTCAAACCGTCGATATTAGAAACACTGATTCAATCCTAAACCACTGCACCCTGCGATATCTAACAACTGTATCTCCAATACTATTTCGCAATATCTTGCCCCAAAGGCGAATTGTAGAAGATCATAACACTGGCGAACTTAGCACGTTCAATTAGGACAACGACACCTCATCATAGAAGAAAATTCCACCAGCCCACATCTGACCGTTCTTAGTCCGATTGCCTTTCTCTCACGGGGGATAGAATACCGAATTCTCTAGATTATGCACCGAGAAACCCTCCCTTCAAGTCATTCACTGCCCCGACACGTAGGCAAACATCCTACCATCATATCAATACTGCGGAACAATCGTTCATAATATCATGGCAATTGTGCCTAGCCTCAAAGCTCTCAGAAGTACCGCTACAGAGCTGAAACGAGAGAATATCCTTCCACAAGGCGACGATAATAGCTCAGACATCTATGCATGGAAAAACACTCCGCACTGCATCGGTAGTACCATCATAATCCTTCAATTCTTGATTTATAAGAAGCGGTTCGCGTCGCACAAGATCGAATAGGAAGGAACTAAAGACATAAGCCTCCATGGATCAAATCGCACGATGAGGACTTAAGAAGGGAAGTACTCCTAACACTCATGCAGCCTCCCGAGGATAAGTACAGACGTTTCCGTACCGATCCGCGAGACTCTACTAGACTTGCTCATGACTCATGAGACCCTAGGAACCTAGTGCTCTGATACCATGTTGTCACGACCCAAAATTCACTAAGGTCGTGATGGCGCTGGACACCGCTGTCAGGCAAGCCAACCAAAATACTTAATTAAATTCTCGTTTTATTTACTTTTGAAATCTATGATTTTCCTTCAAATTTACTAATTAAAAAGATGATTTGCTTCAAATCAAAATTTAATGATAAGCAATTAATACAAAATACTTCATAACAATCCCAGAACCCGGTGTCACAAGTGCATGAGCAATTTCTAAGAAAAATCGAATAATGTACAACAGCTGTCCGGAATACAATTGAACAGAAAATAAATAGAATCCTGACAGAGACTATCTAGCTGCGGGTCGCCTCGAGGACATACAGCTCACCTAGTCTCCGTGTCAACCTTGCTGCTACGCCCACTAGGCCACTAGAGATGCATGTGCCTGTGCAACAAAAATGCACAAAAGTGTAGTATGAGTACAAAAACAACGTGTACTCAGTAAGTATCCCTCCTAATCTCGAAGAAGTAGAGACGAGATGGCAACTTCTACACTTACTAATGGTCAATTAATAATATTATTAAAGGGATGACTCACGAATTTATTAAGGACAGCAGTAGATTCAAATAAATTACTTAACAGGTAAAAGTTCCTTTTTATTAAAAGCCTCCGGATTCATAATCCATTAATTAACAATTTTCTCAAGTCGGGGAGAGCAGATGACAATATCAATAAATCTCAAGGCAAGCAATAGAAACATGCGCAACTCGTGCCGAGGTCGTACGGTCCGATCCAACATAAATGTAAATTGTGCACTGCCGAGGGTCGAGCGGCACGAAACATAGATGCATCTATTACCCCGCTCGCGAATCATACATGCGACGCGGTCAAATTTAAATAAACAATCACCCTGCTCGCGTACCATACATGCGACGCATGTACATATAGAAATACATGCTCAAACGGAAAATTAAGAATTTTACGGGGAACATTTATCCCATTAGAAGCCAATTCTCTCTTAATGATTCAAGAAATAAAGTTTAATCCTCTTAGAAATTCATTTACCAATTCGATAGGATTTAGGAAATTCAATTGTCAATATGATCACAGATATTCCAAGTATAGCATGCTTTTCGTTCCTAGACTACCCGGACATACACATATTAGTAGCTACGCACGGACTCTCGTCACCTCGTGCGTACGTAGCCCTATAAATAGGAGCACATATAACCAATTAATTCACCTATGGGGACAATTCCCTCTTACAAGGTTAGAAAGGAGACTCACCTCGCTCTGAAGATCCATAACCGGCATTCCACGCCCTTCCGAAGACTTGAATCAATGCTAAATACTCCAAAACTAGCCAATGATTATGCAAATTCATTAATATACGATAAACTACTCATATTAAACCAATTTATAACATTTCCTAACCCCGATCAAAAAGTTGACAAAATCACCCTCGGGCCCACGTGCCCGGATTCCGCAAATTTTCGAAGATTAAGCTTACCCATGACTCCATGAACTCTAATATATAATTTACTCTCAATTTCATACCCAAAATCGTGGTCAAATTCCAAGAATATCAATTTTCTAGGTTTTCCTCAAACCGATAAATTTGTAGCAATTTACATGCTAAAATCCATACATAATTGATATATATAACTCAAGATAGGTGGGATTAGCTTACCTTTTCGTTAATGATGAAAACCCCCTATTGAAACCCTCAAAGATCGCCCAAGCCAAGAAAATAAGAGAGAAAATGGCCAAACCCGATTTTTAAAACACTCTCTGCCTCAGGCACTTTCCACACCTGCGGTCCCTTGACCGCTTCTGCGGTTCCGCAGGTGCGAGCCAATCTACCACTCCCGCGGTTTCCTCCAAGCTCCCCTTTTCCGCTTCTGCGCCTCATCCACGCAGGTGCGGTCCCGCTTCTGCGGCTCCATGACCGCATCTGCCGTCTCTTCACTTCTGGCCAAAACCGCATCTACGGCTCTCCTGGCCGCTTCTGCGGCTCCGCACCTGCGGCCCAAATTTCGTTGGTGCGGTCATATCAGCAACCAGCAGCTTCAGCCCTTTCAAAAAGCCCATTTTTGATCTGTTAACCATCCGGAATCCACCCGAGGCCCCCGGGACCCCAACCAATCATACCAACCAGTCCTAAGACACATTACGGACTTGCTCGAGGCCTCAAATCATATCAAACAACACTAAAACCAAGAATCGACCTCCAATCAAAGCTTTATGAACTTTAGAATTTCAAACTTCCACCTTTGATGTTTAAACCTATCAAATCACGTCCGATTGACTTCTAATTTTGCACACAATTCATATTCGACATTACGGACATACTCCAACTTCCGGAATCGGATTCTGACCCCAATATAAAAAAGTCCACTTCCGGTCAAACTTCTCAAAAACCTTCAAATTTCTATCTTTAGCCAAATGACTCCAAAATGACCCACGGACCTCCGAATTCACTTCCGATCGCGCTCCCAACTCGAGAATCACCATACGGAGCTACTCCCTGACTTAGAATCCCAAACGGACATCGATAACACTGAAATGCACTTCAACCCAAACTTATAAAATTTCTTCCAAAATGCTAACTTCCACAATAGGCGCCAAAATGCTCCCGGGTCATCCAAGACCCGACCCGGACATACGCCCAAGTCCGAAATTATCATACGAACATGCTGGAACCTTCGAATCCTGATTCCGAGGTTGTTTACTCAAAATCCGATCTTAGCTAATTCTTTCAACTTAAAGCTTCTGAAATAAGAATTTCCTCTCCAAGTCCACTCCGAACTTCCCGAAATTTAATTCCGACCACACGTACAAGTCATAATGCCTAAATTGAAGCTGCTCATGGCCTCGAACTGCAGAACGGCGTGCTAGGGCTCAAAACGACCGGTCGAGTGCGGCCGCACAGCTCTCCATGTGGACTGCACTGACATGTTTTAACATTTTGGCCATAACTTTCTCTACAGATGTCAAAATTGTCATTTCTATACCTTTATGGAAACTACGCACGAAGGGCTACAACTGTCGGTTTTGAATCATCTCAAAATTCCTTGTAGATCAGAAGATATAGCCTTCCGAAGTCGGACCAGCGAACCTGTGCGGACCGTACAAAATCGAGTGCGGCCGCACAGCCCCCACGGCGGACAACACCAAAACCAATGCGGTCAGCACCGAACTAACCCGGATCAATCATGTACACCCATAGTTCTAGATATATTTCTATACATATTTAAGGAATTTTTGAACACACATACATAATTTGGTCAAAAGCTATTGTGTTCTACTAAATCCATAGCTATAAGGCTGGCTCCGCCCAAGTGCAGAGTGAAGATTTTTTATCTTTTGCTATTTGTTTCTCCCTCTTACAATATTTCTCATTTCCTTCGTAAAATATTTTGTAATAAAAAATGTACTCAACTTTATTATCTAAGTATCATAGAGAGTCACTAAACCATTTGTTGTAATCAAAAAATCACTTATTTTTCTTAAGTAACATAGAAAATCACTAAATAATTAATTTTTAACCAAAAGGCTATCATAGAAAATGTCACGTTAATTTCCTCCTAGTGACTTTATGTGATACCTAGGAAGAGTTGAGTGACTTTTTAGTTAAAGAAAATAGTTCATTTACGTTTGTCATATTTAGGTAAAGTTGAGTGATTCTTTAGTATAAAAAAATAATAACTTTGAGTAATAATGTAAAAATAGAGTGACCACTCATATTAACCTCATAAAATATTTTATTAAACAAACCAGCTAAAAGGAAGACGAGCGTATCAATCATTGCTTAGAACACATAATAAAGTTAAGACATACTTCAATACATCCATCAAGTATGGTTATAAATATCTATTTGATAAATCACTTAACATAAGGAGGCATACAAAATGTAAATACACCAATGCGTGAAGACACACAATACTCATTGTATACAATATCAATCATGGTACATAAAAATATTTGGCCTAGGCTCAAAATCTTCGGCAAAGGACTTTTCTTGTTTAAGACCAGCGTCATCATCATGATAACCAGTTACATTAGGCATTGGCCCGAAATCTTTCGTAAATAATGATTTCTCAGCTTCTTTCAGCTTGGCTTCGTCTTGGTAGACAGATATATTAGGCCTTGATTCAAAGGCTTCACCTCCAACAGAAGGTGATGTGCAATAATCAGTTTTCTCTTTGGAGAGAAGAACTGAATGCCGAGGCATAAGATGTTTGATTGCTTCAGGCATTGGCTCATCTTTCATCACAGCTCTCCAGTATTCTCCAGGGTCTTTTCTTGCATTAGTGTTGCTTGTGTACTGCCCGAGAAAGAGAGACCATAATAAGACTTTTGAATATATTCTATATGAACTTCTTTAAGTTCGACTACATAATCTATATATATTGATATGCGCAAATATTTGGTACATGCAAGGACAAAATGTAGGCTTTAATATATAGGTTCGGCAGAACCCAGTAATATTTGCCATAAAATTCTATGTATGCATCCATTAATTCACAAACTATATATAGAAATCAATTCAGAACTTAGTTATTAAAACTTGAGATCGTCCTAAAATCAAGAATCCACATAATTCTAATGTTAGATTTACCATTGTAAAGACTTACCAGGGCAAGTGAAAAGAGCAGGATAAGAGCAACAACAGATTTCATGGTCACTTCACTAGGAATATGTATGACTCAGAAGCTGTTGTTATTGATCCTTGGTTGAAGCATATTATGAGCTTATATAGACAGGTTAAGCTATTATAAAATCATATTCCATGTAACAAGTTATTGTCAAGCATGTTTAACATGATTCACACACTTTTGACACATATATTATTGGCTTCTTTGACACATATATTATTAGCTTCTTTATTTTTACTGATATTCAATAAATGTTAGGCTTACCTAGTCCCTACGACTATGTGCCATCACGATACCCAACGGAGGGAAAATTGGGTCGTGAGAGACGTTTCCCTAAAATGGATCATGAATCACACCATTGAATAAAAACTACTAACGGAACGTGAATCCAATTGGGATAAGAAAATTGACCTAAAATTCAGTTGGATCAAACCTCTTCCTGGTTGGTACAAGCTTAACATCGATGGAACTTTTAATAAGAATGATGCAAATGGAGGCATAGGAGGAATTTTTAGAAATCGAAATGGAGATTGGATCTTAGGATTCACTTCAAAAATAATCTCTAGAACCCTAATCAACTCAGAACTCATGGCACTCTACCAAGGACTTTGTATTGCCAAAGACAGGAAACTATTTCCATTAGAAATAGAGTCTGACGCTACACACGTAATTACTTTCATCAAAGAAGGATGCAAAGCTTATGAATCAATTATTAACTCATGCAGGATGCTCCTGTCGCAAATGGACACAATGATGATGCACCACAACTTCAGGCAAGGGAATGAAGCAGCACACATCCTGGTAAAGCATGCAAGAGACTTTTCAGCATTCAATAAAATTGAACTTTTATTTTTGCCTCCGCCCTTTGTTATGAACAGGATGCTGGCAGACAAGGGTGGACATATTTTTGTAAAAACTATCTCTCTAACTACTTGGAGTCAACTAGCAAGGATTGGTAATCAGCATGTCATGCGTGGGTTATCAACTACTAACGATCCAAAGGATCATAATATTGTAATCCCTAGAACTATTTTATGAAATAAATGTCCAGTTCATCAAAGAAAAATGGATTGTATCATCACTTTCTTTACAAGTATTATTGAAGTGTGTCAATCTCCTTGTTCTTCCATATTCATACATCAAAATCTATTTGTAACGAACCGACCGGTCGTTTTGAGCTCTAGCACACCGTTCAGCAGTTTGCGGCCATGAGCAGCTTCAATTCAGGCATTATGACTTGTACGCATGGTCGGAATTAAATTTCGGGAAGTTCGGAGTTGACTTGGAGAGGAAATTCTCATTTTGGAAGCTTTAAGTTTAAAGAATTAACTAGGATTGGATTTTTGAGTAAACGACATCGGAATCGAGATTCGAAGGTTCCAGCATGTTCGTATGATGATTTCGGACTTGGGCGTATGCCCGGATCGGGTTTTGGGTGACCTGGGAGCGTTTTGGCGCCTATTATGGAAGTTAGCATTTTGGAAGAAATTTCATAAGTTTGGGTTGAAGTGCATTTTAGTGTTATTGATGTCCGTTTGGGATTCCGACTCTGGAAGTAGCTCCGTATGGTGATTCTGGAGTTGGGAGCGCGATCGGAAGTGAATTCGGATGTCCGTGGAGCATTTTGGAGCCATTTGGCTAAAGATAGAAATTTGAAGGTTTTTGAGAAGTTTGACCAGAGGTGGACTTTTTGACATCGGGGTCGGAATCCGATTTCGAAAGTTGGAGTAGGTCCGTAATGTCGAATATGACTTGTGTGCAAAATTTGAAGTCAATCGGACGTGATTCGATAGGTTTAAACATCGAAAGTAGAAGTTTAAAATTCTAAACTTCATAAAGCTTGGATTGGAGGTCGATTCTTGGTTTTAGCATTGTTTGACATGATTTGAGGTCTCGAGCAAGTCCGTAATGTGTTTTGGGACTGGTTGGTATGATTGGTAAGGGTCCCGGGGGCCTCGGGTGGATTCCGGGTGGTTAACAGATTGAAAATGAAATTTTTGAAAGGCTGAAGCTGCTGCTTGCTGGTATAACCGCACCCGCAGGTGCGGAGCCGAAGAAGTGGCCAGAGGAACCGCATATGTGGTTTGGATCAGAAGGGAAGGGACCGCAGAGGCGGTCAAGCAGCCGCAGAAGCGGGACCGCACCTGCGGCGGTCTAGTCGCAGAAGTGGAAAGGGGCAGGCCAAGTTAGGACCTCAGATGCGGTCGTTTTCTCGCAGATGCGTGACCGCACCTGCGGAAGAGGAAGCACAGATGCGCAAGCGGAGCCAAGGAGGAGGATCGCAGATGCGGATGGAAGCTCACATCTGCGGAACCGCAGAAGCGGTCAAGTGACCGCGGGTGCGGAACTGCTGGAGACAGAATGGTTCTTTTAAAAATCGGGGGTTTGGTCATTTTCCCCCATTTTTCATTGGGTGTGGGCGATTTTGGAGAGCTTCAAGTGGGATTTTTCATCATCAACGACAAGGAAAGCTAATCCCACCTATCTTGAGTTAAATGTATCGATTATGTATGGATTTTAGCATGTAAATTGGTAGAAATTTGGGGGTTTGAGGAAAACCTAGAAAATTGATATTCTTTGAATTTGACCACGATTTTGGGTATGAAATTAAGAGTAAATTATATATTTGAGTTCAGGGAGTCATGGGTAAGCATAATCTTCGAAAATTTTCTGAATCGGGGCACGTGGGCCCGAGGGCAATTTTATCAACTTTTCGATCGGGGTTAAGAATTGTTATAAATTGGATTAATATGAGTAGTTTATCGTATATTAATGAATTTGCATAATCATTGGCTAGTTTTGGAGTATTTGGCATCTATTCAAGTCTTGGGAAGGGCGTGGAATACCGGTTATGGATCTTCGAAGCGAGGTGAGTCTCCTTTCTAACCTTGTAAGAGGGAATTGTCCCCATAGGTGAAATAAATGGTTGTGTGCTCCAACTTGTAGGGGCTACGTACGCACGAGGTGACGAGAGTCCGTGCGTAGCTACTAATATGTGTAAGTCTGGGTAGTCTAGGACCCAAAAGCATGCTACACTTGGAATATCTATAACCTTATTGACAATTGAATTTCTTAAATCCTATCGAATTGGTAAACGAATTTCTAAAAAGATTAAACTTCATTTTCTTAATGTTAAAAGAGATTTGGCTTTTCCTCGGATAATTGTTCCCTGATAAATTCATGATTGACTGATTTTTATGTTTATTTATATTTGACAGCGTCGCATGTATGATTCGCGAACGGGGTAATAGATGCATCTATGGTTCGGGCCGCTCGACCCTCGGCAGTGCACATTTTACATTTATGTTAGATCGGGTCGTACGACCTCGGCATGATTTGCGCATGCTTGTATTGCTGCCTTGAACTCATTAAAGTTGTTATTGCCCCTTCCTGGTTTGAGAATATTTGTATAAAGGACTTAGAGAAATTCGGAGATTTCCCATAAAAGAAAGAATTGTTTACTTGCTTCATTCCATTGAATTACAATCATGTTTGTAAAATTTCATGATTTAATGTATTATTGATATCACATTATTGGACCACTAGTAAGTGTCGAAGTCGACCTCTCGTCTCTACTTCTTCGAGATTAGACGGGATACTTACTGAGTACACGTTATTTTCGTACTCATGCTACACTTGCTGTGCATTTTTGTTGCACAGGCACATGTACTTCTAGTGGCCTACCGGGCGTAGCAGCATGGATGATATGGGGACTAGTTGAGCTGCATTACTCGGGGCGACCCGCAGCTAGTACAGTCTCTTTCAGTGTATTGTATTTACTTTCTATCCAATTGTATTCCGGACGGATGTTGTATTGTATTGTTTCTTAGAAATAGCTCATGCACTTGTGACACCGGGTTCTGGGGATGTCTATGGGTTTATTCAAGATTTTAAAAGAATTGTTAAAGGTTTCATTTCTTATTCAGTGAAATTCACTATGTATAGTTTAAACGTATAAAAGAAGAGATTTTAGAAATATTTAAAACGAGAATTTAATTATGTAGTTTGGTTGGCTTGCCTGACAGCGGTGTCCGGCGCCATCACGACCCTTAGTGGATTTTGGATCATGACAACATAGTATCAGAGCACTAGGTTCGGAGGGTCTCACGAGTCTTGAGCAAGTCTAGTAGAGTCTCGTGGATCAGTACGGAGACGTCTGTACTTATTTTTGGGAGGCTGCAGGACTGTTAGGAGTACTTCCCTTCTTGATTCCTCATCGTGCGATTTGATCCCTGGAGGCTTATGCCTTTAATTCCTTCCTATTCAATCTTATGCGACGCAAGCCGCTTGTTGCAAATCGTGAATTGATGAATTATTACGGTACTACCGATGCAGTGCGGGGTGTTTCTCCCTGCATAGTTGTCTGACCTATTACCGTCCCCTTGTGGAAGGATATTTTGTCGTTTCAGCTCAGTAGCGGTACTTCTGAGAGCTCTGAGGCTAGGCACGAGTTGCCATGATACTATAAACGATTGTTCCGCAGTATTGATATGATGGTAGGATGTTTGCCTACGTGTCGGGGCAGTGAATGACTTGAAGGGAGGTTTACTCGGTGCATAATCTAGAGAATTCGGTATTCTATCCCCGGCGAGGGAAAGGCAATCGGACTAAGAACAGTCAAATGTGGGCTGGCAGAGTAATGAGACGTGGTATTTGCGAGCGTTGTGGAGTTTTCTTCTATGATGAGGTGTCGTTGTCCTAATAGAATGTACTAAGTTCGCCGGTGTTATGATCTTCTACAATTCGCCTTTGGGGCAAGATATTGCGAAATAGTATTGGAGATACAGCTGTCAGATATCGCAGGATGCGGTGGTTTAGGATTGAATCGGTGTTTCTAATGTTGACGGTCCGAGAAAGATGACCTTCGGAAAGGTTTAAGGTTAGAAGCAATTGTAGGTTCAAGCACCACAAAGATAGATTTTATTTAAGGCAACAACTGAGCAGCAAAGGACGAGGAAGGACATACGGGGAGTGTCGGGCGGTGGTTGAAATTTCTAGAGGGCCAGGTATAAGAAGCAAAGGTC